TTTATATAAAAGCTATTTATAGATATAACTAAGTTTATTGTAATTTTGGCCACTTGACACTGTAAATTGCATGCTGAATTTTTTTTCAATTTTAGGTGTTATCTGCTGACTTCTTCCTCATACCATTACTATATTGTGGAGGGCATGCATGCTTCTATCATAGCATCCTGCACAGAAATATCGTGGCACCACTTGCACAGAAATACACTTCCTGTTTTTCCAAAATATTTGTATCAACAGTAAGGTTATTACTTATTATTTACCTTATTATGATGCTGTGTCTATTATTAGTAGCTGGACTCAGGGACATACTGTGATTACTTTTCTTTTTTTCTGGGCAATAGTATGTTTTTCTTAGAATTGTCTTATATATTTATTTTTTATTTAGGACAGGGTCTACAGGGTCTATAGGGTCTATAGGGTCTCACAACATAGATTGGACTTGTAGTGATCCTCCCATTTTCAGCCTCCCAAGCACTGGGATTAAAGGCATGTGCCACCACATCCAGTCTCAATTGCCATCTCAGTGGGTCTCGGGGAGGGGGCATAGTGCATGCTGGGGATCAAACCCCAGTCCCTGCGTCTGCCTAAGCAGGTGCTTTAATCCACTGTATTATCTGGCTGGCCCTGATTTTATTTATTGATCATTTAAGTGTGCTCTTTTTCTGTATAATCCTTATTTTCTATGAGTAGATTTTTCTTCTTTTCATTCATTCATTGGAAAATATAAATTGTGAATTCAAATTCTTTTCTGTGTTGTCTGAACATCCTAGACTTTGTATCACTTATAAGACTGGGGCTTTAAACAGTCCATAGGAAGTTAGTGCGTAGTCTGCTGACGCAGGCTGTACTACAGTGTGATTTGACTGTGCTCTTTCTAAAACTCAGTTTTTAAACTTCAATAAGGTTAAGTCTGACCCCACCTAGGGTCCTTGCGTCACTTGGGAAAAGAGAGCTAAGTGGTCCCAACATTCAGGTACAAGATCCCTCGTTTCGTGTGGGACTCCTTGCCTTAGCTGCTTTTAGTCTCTCCCAGCCTGGAGATCTCTGTTTTGTAATGTTCAGATAATAAATCTGTGATTGGAGAGAGTTAGTCACTTACTCTTGTGGTGTGAAAGAGGATCTGACCTATTTCTTAAACAGACCCACAGGTAATTCTTTTAAGTTTTTCCTCACCATGACTTCTAAACAATACTGGTTTCTTGTGATATGTGAGCTGTTTGGAGGTTTTGTAACATACCCAATGAGGTGGGTTGTTTTCAGGCTTCTCCACTCCCCACTAGATATACCAGTTTCTAAAGTTTTATTTGCTTTCCACTTTCTAAAATGTTTCTTTTGTTTCCTTTTGCATGCTCCATTTCACTGAATTATTTTCTTAGCAGCAACAAGAACAGCGACATAAGCTGTTGGTAATGGAATTTCAGGAGGGACCCTAAGGCTAATGTGTATGTTCAGTGCTTTGCCATTACCTGGAAATTTACACGAAGAGAATGGCCATTTGTTTGCAGGTTAGTTAGCCTTCCATCACTGTCACAAAATGCCTGAAAGCAGCAGCCTGCAGAGGGCAGATTTATTTTGGCCCCAGTTTAAGAAGTTTCAGTCCATAGTTGGTTGGCTCCCTTATTTTGGGCCTGGTAAGACAGAACATCAAGGCAAAGGACCAGAGGAGCAAAACTGCTCACATCAGAGTTAGAGAGAGAGAGAGCACGTGCCCACAGGATTGTACCTGCTGCAATCCGTTCTGTGCGGGCCCCAACTGCGCCGCGTCCTCACCTTCCAGGCGGGACTCTTCCATCGCTTTGCTGTCCCGTGTGCCAGTCTTCTCCATCACCTTCCCAGACATTCCCAGAATGAGCTTTACTAATTACCTAGGCATTTCTTAATCATTTTCTTTGGTCAAAATTTCCCATTGATGGGGCCGGGGAGATGGCTCAGTGGAATAAGCGCTTTCCTGGTGAATGCAAGGGCCTGAGTTCAATCCCCGGTTCCACAAAAAAAAAAAAAAAAAATTCCCATTGATTATGAAGTACAGTAATAAGGGTGAATTTTTTTTTAATAAGGGTGAATTTTGATTATATGGTTCAAAATGGTTGAGACAGCCCTTTCTTAAGAAGTAGGAGCCTTTTTCCAGTTTTTGTGTTATTTTGGGCAAAATACTTAATTTTTCTCAATCTTATCTTCTTAAGTTGAAAAATAGATTAGATAATGGCTAAAATTTCAAATTATGATTCTGTATGAGACTGTTAATCTCTCATATAAATCAGATAAAAATGCCCCAAGGCATTCAATGAGAGATACTGTTTCCTATCACTGATGTTGAGATTCTGCTTTTAGAAATTCAGATAAGCCGCACCCCAGTTATCCTCCAAGGACTGCCAAAGGCCCACCTTCCATTTGGCAACTGTGGTGTTGCACACTGGGCTGGGAAGTACATGTTTGCTTCTGGCCCTGTTTTTTAGAGCAGAGGATGCTTTTGCCCTGGTAGTCTTCTGTTTTTGAGTAGTCATTTTTGCTCCACACAGAAAAGGTGCTGCGCAAATATGATAAGATAATTTCTAGAGAAGTTGTATTTGTGTACCAACAGTAGCTCAGGAAGATGAAAAAGAGCACAGCGATCCTAATCTGCAGTAAGAGGACCAATTTAGATGCAAAAGGAACTTGAGTTTTTCTCAGACTACTGAGGATGGTTCATGGATTAATGGGTCCAGGATCCAGCTGCATATTGACAGGCTGCTCTAACACCGACAGTGGTAAAAGGAATTGCAAGGGCACGATGTCTTTCTTTAGAATACGGCTGCCATCTCTGCCTGCACATAAAATCATGATATCCAGAGTTTAACTCAACCTGAGTGAATTAAACAAAGTCAGTAGAAAGGGGCCTGGAATCTGTATTTGAATCTGTAGCTGATTCTAATGTATTCTTCAGGTTAAGAACCATTCTTTCAGGAGCCTAAGAGCTATGTGAGAAGCTAAATCTGTACATTAAGTGTTATAAACATGGAGGAGCTAGTATAATTGGAGAGAGAGAAAAAGAGAGAGACAGACAGACAGACAGACAGACAGACAGAGACAGACAGAGAGACAGAGAGACAGACAGAGACAGAGACTGAGACAGAGAGACAGAGACTGAGACAGAGAGACAGACTATGGATATAGGAATGGAAGACTTAGTTAATTGGAATCCTAAGGCAGGGCCACATCGAAGTTTATGAAGTTTTCACTGGTGGTGAGAGGATTGGAGTCCTTTAAGACCATGGAATGAATGTTCTGTCAGACCCCAGACGTCAGGGAGATTATTTTTACCTGGTATATGGAGTCTTTCAGGAGGAGTGGGTGGGAGTAAAGGTAGGATGTCAGGTTGCAACTAGATTGTGGCCAGGGTCAAGCTGAGGAGTTGTGGCTTTATTCTATGGGTTGGAGGGGAGACGCTGTTTTCTGTGTTGCGGAATGGAATGACGCATCTTTGAAGACTGATTCCACAGGAATACGGGGTACGTAGTTTGAATAAAAGCAAGAGTCCAAGGAAAGAACATTTGAGAAGCTACTGTTGTGGCCCAGATGTGAGGTCAGAATGTTCTGATCTAAGAAAATGGCAAGGGAGCTAAAAATGACAAAAAAAAAAAAAAAAATTTGTGAAGTATTTGCATAGTAAATGAGTTCTTTTCCACAATTTGTTTAAACCTCACACCGAACTAGTGGTATTTCTCTGGATATTTTATAAATGAAGGAACTGATGTTTAGAGGTTAAGCTGTTTTAAAGTCATCTTACAAAAAAGTGGAAGGGCCTGATTTAAGTGATGGCCATTCAGTAACAGGGTGTCAGGTTGAGTGTGACCGTGGTCATGTTCCTCTGTGATGGATGCAGTGTCCAGTTGCTGGCAGCCAACAGGTAACTACTTACTGCTCTGCCTGTGACTCCTTTTGCCTCAGTGTTTTGATATACATTTAAAAAATTATTATTCTACTAGAACTATTATTATCACTACTACTACTATTATTATTTTGAGGTACTGGTGCTGAACCCAGGGTTTTGTATGCTAGGCAAGTGCTCTAGTGCTGAGCTGTGTTCCTGCCCCTACAATTCCTTCTTGAAAAGGTGAAGTGCAGGCTAGGGAGGGAATGGGCGCCATTAATTCAATTTCAGTAAGAATCTTCAGGTCTTTTCTGAGTATTTTCAGATAGTTAAATTTTGTTGAATTTTAAAGGGCTTATTTTAGGTATGGACAGTTGAGATGAGGGATCAAAATATAGGGCTAAAATCCCTCTTCTCTAGATGGACTCTTGCCCTGAGAAGGGTACGTGACTGCCGGGTTTTCTCCATCTTGTAGTTTAGACAGGAGTCATGTGTGACACCTGGTCGTATAGATATCAGAGAACATCCTGTTGGCTCTAAATCTATATCAGAGCTGTAAAGTGAGTTGTACCCTTTGCTGTGAGAATTTATTTGTTTAAGAGTTTACTGTGTACATATGCTCATCTCTTCTTTGCACTGAGATCTTGAGGAAACTCACATGCCAGTCTGAATCTGATGAAATATAACTTGCCATCTGAGATACTTGTCCCTTGCAGACAAATAGTAGAAGAGAGTGCCAGAGAGCTAAGGGAGAGGTGGAGGCAAAGAAATGAATCATTGTAACTTAAAATCTTGATCGTATTTGCTTTTGAAATGGCAGGGTAGGATGGACACTGAAGTAGGAGAAGAG